GGGGGGGCGTATATATATAAGATGAAAATTATTAGCATTCTCCAGGATATCTACATACTTAGAAATGTTGAAAATGAACCATAAATGTTTTGTGTGGCTGTTTTCATTATAATAGCTCACAAGAATTCCAAGGAAAAACAAAAACAAAAACACCATGTCCTCTTTATTTATGAATTGCTTACTGTCTTTTTTTAATATTTATTTTTTAATTATAGGTGGATACAATATCTTTATTTTCATGTGGTGCTAAGGATCGAACCCAGTGCCTCACACATGCTAGGCGAATGTTCCACCTCTCTGAGCCACAACCCTCTAAGTGCCTTTTATCATTGAAAAAAAAAAAAGCTTATAAATGCATTGAACAATGGTATAAAGACTGACAAAATAAGCTGGGCACAGTGGTACACAATTGTAATCCTGCTGATTTAGGAGGCTAAGGCAGGAGGATTACAGCAAACTCAGTGAGACCTGGTCTCTAAATAAAATACAAAAAGAGTTGGGGATGTGGCTCAGTGGTTAAGCACCCCAGGTTTCAATTCCAAGTAATAAAAAGTAGAATAAAATAAGATTAAAAAGGGCTAGGGTTATAGCTCTATAACTCTATAGGGTTATATAGTGATAAAGCGCTCCAGGACTCAATGCTCAGTACTTAAAAATCTTGGATACATAGACATAGTAACCCTTTTGAGAACTGAAGAAATTTTAATAATTGGTTTTTTTTTTTTTGCTACACATAGGGATTATTTCATATTTCTAAGATAGAGCATCAATCTTTCTACTGGAAGCATTAATTTCTATTATGCCAGTGATTCTTTATGGAAACCCAAATTCCTTTTGTTTTCTCAGAGAAAAATAAATCAAACACCCCATTTCTGGATTAAATTGTGAATATTTTGCCTTAGGATATTTTCCTCCCTCTCAGCCATTTTGGCTATTTTGTTGTAAAAGGGTTGAGTACATGCTTTTCTTGGGAAGTTTATTTTTACCTCAACTTGATAAGTGCACATCGGTAACCACCAGTTATTGCTTTTAATTTAAACAGAGTTGGACATAATTAAAGCAAATTCCTTTCAAAAGTGGTCCAGAGGCTGTTCTGTCACAATGGTGTGTGGAGTCTGGGGCCATGCCTAATAAGTTAGTTAGCAGCTCTCTCCAAGCCCATAGTGGCCAATGGCAATTAGACAGAAACCAGAGACCTCTGACAGCTTGTGACACACTGAAATTGCTGGAGGTGAAGTTTTTGAGCTTTTTATCTTAGGATTAGTATCACATTAAAAATTTATTGTGAATTCTAGGTATCCAGAATACTGCAGAAGATCATAAAAGAGTTTTTCATCTGGATGATAATTTATTGAATATTCAATTGTTTCAGACCACTATTAAGGAAGTATGAGCATGTACCCCACATGACTTACTTACAATTAAGAAAGCATAATTTTCAAGGTAAAGAAATACAACCTTCTTTCTTTTGTTGGAAAAAAAAATCATATGACATCATATGAAATCACAGCATCGACTTTTTAACATTTTTTTCTTCTCAGTCACACACCATGATAACCACTTTCCATAATATTCTGTTGTTTGGTTAAATAATAAAATGATTGGTGATAAGAAAATTAATGAGCATCAATTACTTCCTTTCTCCATTTCTTCTTTAAAGCAGTACTGACTTAACAGTTCTTATAACAACCAAAATGACTAATTCTATTTGAAGGAATCTGTTAGCAATTTGGCACATTTCTTAGAATGACTGTTATTAGTTTTTTAGTATTTCTATCAAATATGAGTTCCACGTAAGGAGAAAGCTCCAAATAAATATAGCTCATGCCTCATTGATCAAATAAAATGCACTCTTGTATCTAGCACCATTAGTGACATTGTTATTACTTTATTTGCAGTATATTTAATCTGTAGAAAGCCAGTGGGTCAAAGGCTGGAGAATAGTAGCACACCATAGCAGTCCATGAACTACAAATTATTTACAGCAGTCACATATTAACTTCACTGCCTGCCAATCTGAACATGGAACGGTTTTGCTCTTTCAACAAGGTTTAGTGTGGCTTTGGGGGAATGGTTGTCTTGTTCTTTCAAACCATTGTAACTGATTTAATCGCTCATTATTTTTCATGTTTTTGCTTCTCAATTATTTTATTTTGCAGATTCAGTCATTATCTTTTTAAAAAATGTGCATTTCTACACTATAAAAAAATGAAATTCTAGCCAGACGCTGTGGCGCAGACCTCCCCAGCAGCTTGGAAGGCTAAGGCTGGCCTCAGCAACTTAGTGAGACCCTGTCTCAAAATAAAAAATAAAAAGGGCTGGGATGTGGCTCAGTGGTTAAGTGCCCCTGGGTTCAATCTGTGGTTAAAAAAAAAAAAATGAAATTCTACCTGAGAAATTCCTTTTCACAATTCAAGGCTCAAGAATCATGAAATTAACAGGGACAACTGTGATAAGCACACCTATTTAAAAAAAAAAAAAAAAAGGATTGAAATCAAACTTTCCCCAGGACATCCTGATTTGAAAACTTAAAGGATATTTTGGCAAATTAATTTTATTTGTTCTCAGATGGATCCCTTTAGTCTTGTTATCAATTAATCTGACTTTTGATCTGCTCCCCAAACTAAAAGGAAGGGACAACTTTGATATTTAAATGCTTTTCCTTATAGATGTCACCATGTTTAAATGAGACACTCTATTCTGCAGACAAAATTTAAAAAGATCTTACTTTATGGCTGTAGTGTTAAAGGACTGGGAAAATACTGTTACCATGGCATAAGTACAATGCTGTTTTAAAGTCCATGTCCTTGGAGACTTTAAACAGGCAGTAGTCTTTAGAAGAATCTTACCTTCTAGCTTCATTCCAACACTTAGACATTTTTGAAATCGACAGTAAGGACAACGTTTTCTCTGTGTTTTGTCAATTTGGCAGTTCTGGTTTTCTATACATGTGTACCTTTTATTATTTTGGACTGTTCGCTTAAAAAATCCCT